CAGGGTCTTAATTTCCAACTAAACCAAAAGGAGCATATCAAGACAAATTGGAGAAGATAAAGTGCAACAACTGGATCACGTAAATATCCTACTTGGAATGATTAATATGAATATTACTTTTTAAAATGAACAATAGCCAAGAACATCAGAAAAAAAAACTTTCCTAAATAGAACTAGGCCTTATCAACAAGAAGAAGGCAATCCAAATTAAAGAGAAACAAATATATAATGCCTGCTACAACCAATCCAAGAGAAATATTTAACTGGCAAAAAAGCATTTGACTGAGTTGATTCTACATTGAGATCATTAAAAAATTAAGTTGTGGAACTAGTTTATGAAATATACAGAAGTATGTTATAAAGACCCTTCCTCATTTGTGAAAGTGAAGGCAACAAAATTAGGAAAATTAACATCTAAAATACAACACTAAGTTGTCCCATATTGCCTCTCTTGTCCATACTGCAACGAATTACTTAAAAATATTAAGTATTAAAGTTATAGACAAAATTAGCATTAGAAGAATAAAGACTATTTGTAGATTATTTCTGATCACCAGTTTTAAATAGAATCTGAAAGATTAATTAGGTCATCTAACCTATCCCTGTATCCTTTCCACTGTAGGACTGCTCCTTTGAGACCACTTTGTTGTACTGAGTATACCAACATTTATAATCCTTATACTTAATAAAATAGAAGGCTACAAGAATACAGGCAATTGTTTTCAAAGTAAACCACAAAATCTATACTTATAGATCTGTGAATACCTGAAGATTGTGTTCATTATACAAAAATTACAACACAATCAGTTAATGCAGATATTTAGAAGTTCCTGGAACATTAATTCTAGAAATTATCTGAACAAAAATTTCTTGGGAATTGAGAATTAAAATGGAAAATCCCTCACTGATACACTACACTATGTTGAATGCTGCACACAGAGAACAGAGTCTAGCACCCACTGGGTACATCTACACATGCAATTAATGTGCATTACATTGCACCCGAATGCCCATCTACACATGTGCTCAGGTCAGGAGCAAATTGAGTCTGACAGGAACAACCTAGTCCAGGGCTGCTCCCACCCTGTTCTTCCCCCCTGCAGCAGCCAGGGGGAGCTGCAGCTGCCTCTGTGTCAGCACCAGGCCAGCAAGGGGAAAGGGAGCACCCCTAGATTGGCAGGGGAAAAGGGCGTCAGGCTTGGGCTGGCAGAGGACAGGGGTCAGGCTTGGGCTGGCAGGGGACAAGGGGTTTAGTCTCAGGCTGGCAGGGTATGGGGAGTGGTCAGCTTCAGGCTGGCAGACAGCACAGGGAGTCAGGCCTGGGGCACAGGGCAGGAGCTGTCCCCAGCTCCAGGGGCTGCTCTGAGTGGCACAGAGCTTGGGGCTAGCCTCAAGCTCCAGAGAGCTGTGGAGGAGCTGCCCCCCGTTGCCAGGGACAGCGCTTGTCCCACCCCTAAGCTGAGCAGCAGTTGTAGCCCCCTGCTGCCTGGACTGTCCAATTTGCTCCTGGATTAGCATCTACACATGCATTCACTCACATTAATACAAAGCATCATTGGCTAGTACCTGTATCTGGCAAACAGAGCTTTACATTAATCTATTGTGTTATAATTACCACGTACATGTAGACGATGATGCTTTACTGCACATTAGATAAGTCTAATGTAGAGTAAAACATATGTGTAGATGCACCCACTGACATTCAAAGGGAACTGGACAATTATCTTATACTCCTTTGCAAATCCCAGCAATAGTACTCTATATCTCAGGACCTTATACAGAAAAAGCTTAATTTTGAGAAATGTTGAACCACCCAAAATTCCACTGGTGTCCATGGAATTATGTGTGCTTGGCAATGTTCATGATCAAGTCAGGAGTGATTTTATGTATTACAATAACCACAATAAATACATCTCAGTGCATTAAGGGCATCATATCACATGGATTGTTTCTTTTATAATTTTAAACCAGATAAATAACTGGCTTGTGTGAATAATATAACCTGCTTTCAACTATTAGTTCACAGAACATTTTAAGAATTATAAATACAGTAAAAGCTGTATTAACTGGCATTCTACTAGCTAGAATACTCTATTAAGTGGAATTTCCAGCCAGCTGGCCGTATGCAAGGGGGGTGAGGAGAGGGAAGCTTGTATGCAGCCACCCACCACCCTGTGGTGTCGCTACTCCGCATGCGGCCGCTCCCTTCCCCCTGTCCCCTCCCTGCCTCCACTCCGCAAGGGTTTTCAAAAGGTTGAAAACCCCTGCCTCAGATAACCAGAATTTTTAGATACCTGGCACCCCCCATTCCCCACTTGTGCCGGTTAACACAACTTTTACTGTAGAAAGTTTTAAGTACTGTTTAAATAGAAAACATAACTATATAATTGTAGTAGTAATATTAAAACTAGTCTTGGGTTTAAATATGGAATACACTATTAACCCTTAATATGACATATTTACCAGTAACAAGAGGTCACAAAGGTTCTTTAAAAGCCAAACTGTATATCAGGGTATGTGAAAAGCAACTGATCTGCAAGGTAGGGAAGGTCAGAATATAGGGAGGTCAGAATATAGGGAGATGTCAGCAACAAAAAGTGTGGTCAGAGCAGCTGAGCCTGTTTACATACTGTGACTTTGACTTTCCACTGCATATTGTGCAGCCCTGCTGTAAGCTGAAGCTTAGCTTCTCTCTCTGGGGTATATTCAGCCTAGGGTACAGGTGGAAGCACTGTTGGTCACCGTAACTGTGAATCTTCTCTCCCCTATTTACCTTTGCTTCTTGGATACACCAATTCACACTATACCATCTCACCTATATGGTCTTTCTTTTTTTGGTGAACTTGGTGCAATGTATATACACATATCTTTTGTGATGCAACATTTAAAAATAAATACTGTTATTTATGTAAACATCTGTTATTAAAATCAACTGTGTAGATCAGAGGTACCTTGGCAGCTTTTAACAAGATTTCCCTCTCTTGTTCATCTTTTCTTTGCTTTTCTAAACGCTCCAACTGTTCAAAAAACTTTAACTGTGATCGGACATCTGTAGCCTGCTCATACCATTCATCATCCTGGAAAAAAACAAACATATTTTATTTAAAAAAAACATGAAATCTTAATAAAATAAATCTTCACAGGCTTTTAGATCCTTTTCCTTAAAACCTTTCCAATCTTCTAATAAAGTAAGAACATATTTTTGATTCATATGGCATACAAATTATTACAAGAAGAGACTGCAGACAACAGCCTAAGGTTAATATTGTAGCAACACAAATAATTGATAAAATTACCCGATTAACAAAACAGATTTTTAAATACAAAATACATGGATTGATTAATCAATGTCAACTACACTGAAATAAAAAAATGAAATTACTAATAAAACTGGAATTACTGATTGAAAGACCAGGATATTTAATTTTATGATTAAATGATAAACAGTTAAACCTAACTCTGTATTTCAGTTCCTGTACTTGTATTTAACTAAAATGCAGCATGAGAAACGTTACCAGTTTACAAAGACATTTACAGTTTAGCTATAGCAGATCCAAGTTTTAAAAAAATAAAATGAGCTCACTATATAAAGAGTATTTGCACACTGCCAGTATTCAACAAAAAATAAGACTTAAGTCTAAACTAGTGCAAAATGTTGGATTTTTTTTATGCGAGTTACAAGAATGAGAGTATTATCCATATTATTTGCACCTCAGTTTATCTGCTTGATATTTTCCTTCCTGAAGAAAAAAATTAAATCAAAAAAAGGCTGCTAGCAAGTAAACAAAACGAAGTAAAATAATGGCAAAGATAAGGTAGCACTAGGCAGAGTAACCAGTTCCTTGAGGAAATTATTAACTGGGGAGAAAGTCATGCCTGGATGACTTAAGTCATCCACCTAGGATAAGCAAGGTTTATTTTTCCCATGCCTGAACATGGAATAAAATGGAACAAAACCATCAAAGGCACTGACCTAAGAAGGCTGAACAAGGGGGTTAAGCAGGAAACGAGCTGAAGATGAGTGTCAGAGAAAAAGAGAAACTTTTGACTTTTAAACCTTTATTATACAAATATTAAAAACAAACGGTTGACGTGCAAAGGTATGTGGCCCTCCCAGGGGCCAAGCATGAAACACTGGTTAGCAACAAAAAAGAACACCATGTCACCAGAGATTGAAACCTCTTTCCCCACTCCCCACATCCCCCACGGGGTTACACATATAGGACCAGCCATCCATCTTCCACCTTGCAGAGGGACCGCCCTCCATGACCCAGCACAACACAAACTGGTCCACATTTTGTTGCAAGGTGAAGTGTCCAAATTCAAATGTGACATGCGCTGGACCAGAAAGTGGAAGAGATGGGGGACATCATTGGACCTGACCTGTGCAAACTGATTTCTGCAGATTTTCAGTCACCTTCTTGGCCTGGCCCAGCAGGAAGCTGGCCAGGGAGATTACATTCCCTTTGACCATTCATTACAGGATAGGGAGGAATTCTCAGAGAAGTGCAAACCCAGCATGCCAAGGCAACAGTTTATGGGTGACTTATCAGGAAAAATAGATAGGCTGGGCTAGTAATGCCAACCACCTACCAGGTGCCATTAGTTAAGCATAGCAAGAGTCTGATCAAACCAGTTTGGCATGAAGAGTGCAGGCATTCCTCCTACAGATAGCATAGAAAGGGAAGGATGAATTTATTTCTGAAATCTCAACACACGCCATTCACGCCCTTAAACAACATTCAATATCTACACACTTACTTTGTGAGACTCCATTCGGTGCTGCGTTATCATTGTTACTTTTTCTATCACAGTTCTTAATCTGTTTTGTGTTGCATGGGAAATAAAGGTAGCCACCTCAGCTGGCACATCTGTAATTCCTAATTTTTTAGCTAAAGGAAGAAACAAAAATAAAATAAAATTAGCTTCCCCCACAAGAGAAAAGTCCTATGATTTCTCAGGGTAATAGCACCATGATTGTTTCAAATACAAAACTTTAAATATTTTAAAAATGCCTTTTCCTTTCAGAAAGGGCCCTGCAGGATCCTTATTTAGAGTACAAAAGTGAATATAATGCATGTAAAGTATGGTTAAAAAAAATAGCAGCCCTCACAGATTTGGATGAAATTTCAAAATATGCCAGAAAAGACTAATAAGGAACATATTCAGAAAAAAAAATAACTGAAATAAGCAAAGAAATATCTTTCTGTTATGTTGATAATTCATCAGTTTATTAGGTGACCTTTACATCTGGCTTATAAAATATTGCTAAATTTTATTAAGAAACAAATCTTTTTTCAGGTATCTGTAAAGTCTGAAGGAAAAATCTATTAATTTTTGCCTTCACTCTTTCAAGATAAAAGTTCTGGATAATGGGCAGTTGATAATTTTATGTTTATTGTATTAAATTTAATACAATATTACAAAAGAAAATATGAAGCTTAATATTGAAGAGAACTTCCAACATCTTATATCACACTAACCTACTTTATATTGTTCTACCAGTATAAAGGCAACTTAAAGAGGGAGGAACTTATACTTGCATTTATTTTAAGTCCTATATATGTAATTAAAGCTGTATAAGAATTAGGGTCTATGGGTAAAATTTTCCAAAGTGCCTACGGCTGTGTCTGCATACACTTGGTAAACGTAGTGTGCAGACTGCTTCCTTAACTGGAAGCAGTGTAGCCACATTTTACCATGGCCAGACTATCTAGGACAATCTCTCAGCCATACTAATTAACTTGGTAAAAGCAGCACATGGGCATAACTACACTGCTTCATGGCCTAGACAACTTGGAAGCCTTGGGCATTAACATCCTATAGTGTTTACATGCTTTTGAAAAATTCACACATGATTTCTGCCAGTAAATCTCAAAGTTATGCTAATGTTTCTGTTATTCACCTGTTTTATACTGTCAATAACAGGCCACCACACTAACAGATGACCAGACCAATCTGGCCAGATGGCCCCAAGCAAATTTTCCTTGTGGTTCCTGAAACACTACCATTGAAGATGGTACATGCATTCCCCTACAGCAGGGATTGGCAATTTATGGCCCAAAGGCCAGATCCAGCCCATGGAATCATTACTGGATACTGTCCATGGATGTGGGGCTTTAGGTTGCAGTTGCCCTTGCGGGGGGCAAGTGCTGGCTGTGGGCACTCTCCCCATGACACTGTGAGGATGAGTGGTGGCAGCAGTGAGATCCTAGTACACACTGGCCTCTGACCCAGGGTGGGTCATTCCAGCCTATAGCTTGAAAATGTTGCCTACCCCTACCCTGCGAGACTGGGCCACTTCTGATAGACCATGTTTTCTATATTAAAGGAAAGAACCATGATATTTTAGACATGAAAGGCAAAAAAGCTCTGCTAAAACACTGTGAGTGGTAACAAGTTACAAGTCAATATTAAAGATGCCAGGTGTTCATTAAAAACCTGCCTGAATGCAGGTTCCAAACTTTTATTTCACCCTTGCAAATGTACTTGCCTTTCTGTCCATTTATAGTATAGTAGTGCTATTTAATTCTAGTTTGTAAAAGTGACCCATGTTGGTAAATCAAACAGTCCTTGAAGGTTACTTATCCAACTTTGTTGATTCATTCATGGTCTGCTGAAAACATGTGCAATTGATTTTTTTTAAATCTTGTTTATTATGTAAATGGTTGTTGTAAAGGTGAATTGAAGGATTGGAGAACTTTTAAAGGCTGGAAAATATTTTTGAGGTTCCCAGTAGTTTATTCAAGTAGATTCCTATAGCATACACCTACTATAGGCCAAGTTCTTGTCACATTTACTCTGAATACAAAAGGAGTAACTCCTCAATTCTCAGCGGCGCTAATCCAAATTAGCCTCAATGAGATCAGAATATGGCAAACAGCATTATTATTAGGCACTTTAACTGAATACTCACAAAGCAAGCTATATGTAATAAAAATTTCTTAGAAACAATGGATTTATCAAATACAAGGAAATTAAGTTTCATTAATTACCACTGGATAAATTTCAAAGAATAAAGACAAGGCAGTACTCTCTCAAAACTAAAAGAAATGGCTTTTGAAATTATTTTATTTTGTTATCTATCTTCTGTCATGTTCAGAATGAAAAATAGGTTTCAGGATCAAATTACTAAAAATCTATTTCCAACAGATAGAACTGGTAAAGATCTGTTTGGTTCTAGTCAATCAATGGCACCTTCATGTTCTGTCTAAGTCTTGCCCCTGCCCTAGCAGGTTATGGAAAGAATGGTCAATATAGGTAATAATTCTTACCTTTATCAATGAAGACAGAGTTGTTACTGAATCAAAAAAATATTCCTAAGCTCCATATCTTCTTCATTGTGCAAAATGGTGATGCTACTGTTTAAATGCTATTAATCATCTATTATAAAGAACTGTTGTCTTCAGAAAGCAACAGTAAGATAAATTACACATTAAAATACCTGCATTTGCTGATACATGGAAAAATTAAATTTTCCTTTACCAATAAAGCAGCAATATTGATGGCATTTAACAATTCCTCATTTATCACAATAATTAAGAAGTGCTGAAAATGCATTTGTAGTTATATATTACAAGCTTCAGCTGCACCTGGTAAACACTTAGGTACATGAGTAGTCCCAAAGGGACTTATATGAATATGCGTTTGCAGGACTGGAACTTTATATTCTATTCCCCTCACTGGGACTTCGTTTGTAAGATCAGGAAAAAATTTCCATGGAAATCAATGAGCATTTTATGTGATGACTACAGGATATGACCCTCTATTAATGGACAGAACATTCTAACGATAACAGGTTTATACTGTACTAGTGTTTTTATAAAGATTAAACTCAACACACTTCTGAAAAAAAAAAGTGTTTGTGAGTAAAATATTACAGGGAAAGTGTTTTAGAAAGTTCACGCCCTTAAAGCGTTTCCTGAATTGCTAATTAGAAATACAATTTTCATTTGAAAGGAAGGAGACAGGCAAATAAAACCTTGGGAGATTTAAAAACAAATATTATTTTCAAAGTGTTCCTATTTTTCCAGCCAAACTCAACAGCAGTAAACCATCACATGTCTAAAAAATGAAGAAGAGTCAGTGAACAGTAGTTTTATATTGATATATACTTCTGTTATTTTAATGATGTGATTTAAAATGAACTGGCAGTCTTCAGCATCACCCTTGGCTTTATGTCAGCAATGGGTTTGGTTCAGTCAATCACTGACACTACTGAAACAGTGAGCTGCCATTCACCAGCAGGGGGCACTGCAGTAAATTCTTTCTTTAGGCAATGGCACAATAGAAAGTCAGTTGATTAAAAAATGCATATTTCAAACAAATCTGTCATGATACAAGACTTACAACAACCATCTTCCAACAAAATGGTTTGGCATTTTTTCCATATGCACCACAGCAGCATTCTCTGCTACAAAAAATTATTCAGATGTATAAAATTGTTGAAGTAATACAGCCCAAAGTGAAAATTGCTTCTGAATTCTGTTTGTAGATACAGCTATTATAACTGATTTTTTTACTAAGCCATATGAAAAAGATTATGTTTCCTGAAGCTCTCTCTCTGCTCATCTTTCCTTCAATTTTTTTGATCTGTAGTGTCTATTTAAATGTATATTTTATTACATCACTACAGTACATCATTCCCCCACTTCCCAGAGCTGAATTCCCTATGTCACATATGTCTGATATTAATTTTTTTAATGACACTATGAAGTTATTATCTCTTAAAATTAATTTAAGTTGTCAATAGTTTCACACTGTAGGTGTAACCTTAAGGAACTTAGCAACAGATAAACACTTTTTAAACTGATCTTTGTTTTATCACAATATGAAAAGAAAAACTTTCTTGAGCCCCAACTAGTCCTCAGCCAAAGTAACAGAGTTGTACATGTAACAGAAGGCAGAACTGGTCATGCAGACCCGAATGCAGCAACAGTGACTTGTGCAAATGAAGTCTCATGGGACTATAGACATAGGAAATATTTTTGTGAAAGGCAGACTTGCATTATCAAACCCAAATGGGGCACATACCATTTTATAATGTTTACACATGTAAGCAAAACTGACAGCCAGTACAAAATAAAATTAGTCAACTAAAAGACAATATGCAAGTAAGAGGGAAAATTAGCCAACTAAAATCTAATAGATGAATTATGGTGGAGATGTATGTGGAGGTTTGAGGAAAAAATGTCAAAACATTAATGTTTCCTTGAATTTTAGGATCAGTAAAAATGGATATCCATTTCTGAGGGCATTAATATTAGAGTGAGCATAATCTTGCTGGCATTTCCAACACAACACTCCTGTTCTAGCAGAGAGGTCGGCAATCCCCAGCACATGTGCCAGAGTGTGACGCACAAAGGCATTTTGCTTGGCACCCATGCCTTGGGGAGGATGGCAGGGAAGGAGTTGGGGCTGTCTTGTCATGCAACAAGGACCAAGCCCCTCACAGCTCCCCCACTGTTTGCCCAGAGGCATGTGTACACCTGCTGCCAGCAGCGAGCCAGGCCAAGGCTTTACAGACCCTGATGCGGCGGCTTGTAGCCTCTCTGCCACCTGCTGCAAGCAGCCCAGGCTCCGTTGCAGGCAGCAGGGGCCTGTCCAGAGCCCAGGCCAGCTGTGGCAGGCAGCCAGGAGGCTGCAAGCTGCTACACTGAGGTCTGCAGAGCCCCGGCTCAGCTTGCTGCTGGTGGCGGGTGCAAGCGCACCTGAGGCCAATGGTGCAGGAGCTGCAAGGGGCCCAATCCTTGTTGTGGCAGTGCAGCCCTGGACTCTTCCCTGCCATCCACCTTGAGGTGCACGTGCACCCACTGTCAGCAATGAGCCGGGCTGGGGCTCCACAGACCTCAGTTCAGCTGCTTGCAGCCTCCTGGCTGCCTACCACAGCCAG